CACGAAGCACCTGCCGGGTAGGCAACCCATTCTGCAACACTCCTCCAGTAGCGGAGGAGAGCTGTATAACTGGTTGCCTAATTATACCGGTGTAAAAAATAGATAAAACAGTAGCCACTACCGAACGACGGTCGATTATACGCCGCCTTTTTCGATTTACATTAGCCCGAGTAAATTGATATTTTCCGCAAATTAAAAGCAAGATCATTTAGCGCGAGGTGAGAGAGAGTGAGCGTGTTCTGGCCGGCCGCCAGTTCGAACGTAATTTACTGAAATTTCGTTGAGATAGGTCCGTGACAAATGACTCTGGCGACTTCCGATGTATTTAATGCGGCGGTTTTCCGTCAACGGTGCATTTTCCCAGTGTTTTTCCGTCGATCATGACAAATTGAGTGGGATGTTTTTTCGTTCGCGAAACTTCACCGGGATCTGATTGATTATCAAGCTTATTCGAAAATGGTGTTCTGTGTTTTTAAGAGTTTTTGGGTAGGGTTGATAATTGACTGTCATATTAGGTGGATATTTGGCTCCTTCAGCTAGAAAATTGATACTATTTTAGATAAATAATTTTTTAATAAATAAGTGTTGCTCTTGTGGGTAGATAATTGATTCTCTTTGTTAAAGAACTCAATTAGGTGGATATTTGGCTCTTTAGACTGAATAATTGACTATTTTTGGATGGATAATTGTCTCTATTAGCTAGATAAGTGTTGCTCTTTGGTAGATAATTGATTCTCCTTGTTAAAAAACTCAATTAGGTCTCAATTAGGTATCTTTAGACTGGATAATTGACTATTTTGGATTGATAATTGACTCTATTAACTAGATAAGTGTTGTTCTTGGGTAGATAGTTGATTCTCTTTGTTAAATAACTAAGTTAGGTCTCAATTAGGTCTCTTTAGACTGGATAATTGACTATTTTGGATTGATAATTGACTCTATTAGCTGGATAAGTGTTGCTCTTGGGTAGATAATTGATTCTCTTTGTTAAATAACTAAATTGGGTCTCAATTAGGTCTCTTTAGACTGGATAATTTACTATTTTGGATAGATAATTGACTCTATTAACTAGATAAGTGTTGTTCTTGGGTAGATAGTTGATTCTCTTTGTTAAATAACTAAGTTAGGTCTCAATTAGGTCTCTTTAGACTGGATAATTGACTATTTTGGATTGATAATTGACTCTATTAGCTGGATAAGTGTTGCTCTTGGGTAGATAATTGATTCTCTTTGTTAAATAACTAAATTGGGTCTCAATTAGGTCTCTTTAGACTGGATAATTTACTATTTTGGATAGATAATTGACTCTATTAGCTAGATAAGCGTTACTCTTGGGTAGATAATTGATTCTCTTTGTTACGTAACTCAATTAGGTCTTTTTAGACTGGATAATTGACTATTTTAGATTGGTAATTGACTCTATTAACTAGATAAGTGTTTCTCTTGGGTAGATAATTGATTCTCTTAGTTTGATATTTGGCTCTTTAGGCTATATAATTAACTATTTTGGATAGATAATTGATTTACTTAATTAAATAATTGATTGTCTTTGGTTATATTTGACTCAACTGAGCACATAATAGATTTTCGTAAATTGTTAAGTCTCTTGATGGCTGATAAACTATTAAAATGCATTCGAACAAATTCCTGCTGGAGCAATTGACAAATTACCGGCAATTTTTTCGTGTACTCGTTGGATAAATAGCGCATAATAGTTTAGCTTAATAGAGCATTTTCTTTCGACATAGAAAATTGGAAGCAAGCCACATTCCTGCAAGCGGAAAAACACGAAAAAAAAAATCGCCCTCGCCGTTCGAACCGGATAACAAATGCGCGCCCGCTTCGAAATCCATTTTACTGCTAAATCGGAAAAATCTCCCAATTCCTCGCGCGCGCCGCCTTAAGTCGACGTCTCGCGTCATTGTGTACGGAAAGAAAGTCCAATATCGGGAGAGTTAATAAAACGTTGAAGTAAATAGGACGAATATTTTATGAGTTACAGTTACAAATCATCCGGGGAGATTTCGAATAAAGCGGCCCCCGGAAATTCTGTTTACCTTTTCCCTTTTTGTATCGCGTTCGCCGGTCGCTCGTAACCTATAGAAATCAGAATTACTACCTTGGTAATTGGAGATGCGATTGTACGAAAATAGAGATGACTTGCGGCTCGATTCAATTACGCTCGGTTTACACACTTCACTTCTTAATATAAATATAATCGATATCGCTCTCGGTAGAGGCACGGAATGATAAATGAGCCGGGATCGGTATCGGCGCGGCGAATCGAGGTCAAGATGTTTTTTTTTTCACCCAGTCAATTTGACTGGAAAATTATTTAATTAAAAAAAATCCCTCGCGAAATTGATTAATTAGATCACCAACAACTCCTCCTTGCCACATGTCCGAGACGAGGCGCTCGAAAGTAAGCCGAAACCATCATTTAAGATTAGCGAATCCGCCGTAATTAAACATAGTCTTTGCGTTGAAATCATTACTTACGAGATCAAGTCGAAGAACGGCGCATTTAGTTAATAATATCCGACTTCGAAGTGAGCCACCGCTCAATTAATCATCCCATTCGAGCCGAGGATTCGAAAAGTTCGGTTTAATTGGTGCTTCAATTCGGTCGAATGTGAAAGAACCGAAACGACCGCGGCGGAAAAAAGCACGACTCGAATTATCTACTCCACTTGCTCTACTTGCGGAATTGGGCCCCTTTTCGAACCGGCGACTTTGCGGAATTTGTTTACGTTTCGTTCGCGGTTTTCGCCGGAACTTCGATCTCCTTCGCCCGGAAAGACCGAAGGCGCCGAAGGTCTTTCGCTTCTTCGGGATTAATTAGAAATTTTAAATGAGTAATTACAGTCTCGGTGTTGATCGAAGCCTTCGAGATTTTCCGAGATTTGTTTGAAATTTTGGCGGAGGTATAAGCATCACATTTAGAATTCTGGTGGATGCGATAGCACTGAATACTGAATTAAAAATTGTGGCGGAGGATTTATTTGAAATTTTGGTGGACGCGCTAGCATCACATTTAAAATTTTGGTGGATGCATTTGTACTGAATTAAAAATTGTGGCGGAGGCGGAAGTATTTTATAAAAATTATCTAACTTTAAGTTTATAACGAAAAATGTTTCTTTGAACGACTCGTGTGTAATAGATTTCGCGCAGCGGCAAATGTAAGATGAGTCGTTTAAAGGCAATTTTCCAAACTACTTCCTGCGGGCATCGCCGGGCGAAGAGGGTCCCGTTTCCCGTTCTAGTGAGATAACTTTTTTCCGATCGTTCGTCGAACGGTAAAAAGAAGGGAAACCGGCGAGAAAAAAAAAACTGGCCGGGCCGGAGGTTTCCTGACTTTCGCCCGGACTCGCCGAACTAATACGTGTGCTAATTGACCTCTTAACCGGATCCGCTCTCGCCCTGCGCTAAAAATACTGAGTTATAAATCTATAAAGAGATAAGGGAGCGACTCTCGCAAGGGCCCTTCGACAGGGTCATTTAGATCGTGGAGCATTTCGAGTGACCACTTAGGGGACGAGGTACAAAGAAAAATCGATCCCCTGAGGATTTTAATGAAATTCGTTTGATACTAACAAAAAAAAAACCGCCGCGTACTGCGAATTTCCGTGTGCACGAAGAAAATTGAAAATTACGAAATCGAGCTGGGTAATCGAAATTTTCAAGCATGTTTCACTTTTACATTATACATTTATAGTCGATCATAGCTGACTACAAAATTTGGGTAGATAATGAATTATCTTAGGAAGATAATTGACCCTCTTGAGTAGATGATTAATGCTTTTTGGTAGATATACTTGTGTCTCTCTTAAGTAGATAATTGATTTTCTTGAATTTAGAGTTGATGCTCTTGGGTATGTAAATAATGTTATTGGGTAGATATTTGACTCAATTGGGTAAATAATTGATTTTCTTAAATAGATAGTTGATGCTGTTGGGTAGGTAATTAATGTTATTGGGTAGATATTTGACTCAATTGGGTAAATAATTGATTTTCTTAAATAGATAGTTGATGCTCTTGGATAGGTAATTAATGTTATTGGGTAGATATTTGATTCAATTGGGTAAATAATTGATTTTCATAAATAGATAGTTGATACTGTTGGGTAGGTAATTAATGCTCTTGGGTAGATAATTGATGCTCTTAGGTAGATAAAAAATTTTCATGAGTACCTAGAGAAATGACTCAATTAGTTAGATAATTGTCTCTCAAGCTGGTTATTTAGTTGAATTTCCTTGTACACTACAAAAATTAAAAATTATAAAATCGAGCTGAACAATCGAAATTATCAAGCATGTCATACTTTTACGCTAAGAAATAAAAAATATGCAGCAAAATCCTCCTTCTATACGTTTCCGATTCGAGCGATCATTTTTATTTATTGCAACAGAGATATATCCGTATAAGAGGTTTTCCTCTTCCAGCTCGCTCCGAACAAAAGTTCAAACAATTTCCATAAATCAACCTTTATGAATCTATTAAAAAAATTTTCGCAGCGAATTCGCGCACACCCGTCGATCGCAGATATCCCAATATCGCCTTCTGTATTATCTCGACTCCGGCGCAGGACCGGACTCCCAAAAAAAATCCCATTCGTCGGGCTATCAATTAACTCTCATCTCACCTGAGCGATGATGTCCAACGCTCTCTCGACTAATTATTCATGCTCGACGAGTGCTTGATGTACATTTACATACAGGGTGAGTCATGAGCAACTGTATATACTTTTACAGTGCATGTTAAGAATCTTACTTATTGTCAAAAGAATGAAATTTAGGGGTGAACATTTTAAGTATCTAAATGAATACTTCATTGTTTCTTTTATTTATACAAATATTACCTGAGAAAATGAATTTATTCAATACATATGCTTCATACTGTATGGATCGCAGTAACAAAAAAAGTGAAATTTCAATAAACTAGCAGATTTCGCGGCGTAGAACAGTGACTTATAGTACCGATACGTGATAGATTCGAACGATGCGAGGCTCGGAATCCGCCACGAGCGGCCGATATCTGTCAAAGAGCGATCCGGAGATGTTCCTGAGTAGGCGTGGTTCTGTTGCTAAGCAGCAGCCAGCGTGGATGAGGGGCAGCCGAAGCCTCGTCGGCATCGTCAGTGTCTGCGTAGCTTCCGACGCGGCCGCCGCGGAAAACTGCCCTCCGGAAAACAGGGGAAAACTCGACCACGGACGACGCGCGTTCCCGCGACCGTCCCGCCGAACCATATGGAAAGCGGAGCCTGAAGGTGATCGAAGGTAGGTGTTCCGGTGCACCGGCGAGGCGCTTTCGAAGGGAGAATTCGAAGAAAAAAAAAGTTTGCTTTTTTATACCCACTCGCGACTACTAAGTGTGAAGTTTCGGTGTGTTGCGTTTCGAAGAGAAATTGTGTATTGTATGTAAACTTTTCGTGGAGGCATAAGTATTGTGTAGATAGGTTTTCAATTTTTTGGTGGAGGAACAAGTATTGTATAAATAGCATTTAAAAATTTTTGGTGGAGAAACAAATATCGTGTAAATAGGATTTCAATTTTTTGGTGGAGGAACAAGCATTGTATAAATAGCATTTAAAATTTTTGGCGGAGGAACAAGTATTGTATAAATAGCATTTAAAATTTTTGGCGGATGAAACCTAGCTTTGAATACTTTTACGTACTTTTGCACAAGAAAAACAAATTTAAGCGACACAAACTTGCTCTAATATTGTGTTTTGTGGCGTTGTTTTTTTACATATTTTCGTGGAGGCATAAGTATTGTATAAATAGCATTTAAAAATTTTGGTGGAGGAACAAGTATTGTATAAACAGCATTTAAAATTTTTGGCGGATGAAATCTAGCTTTGAATACTTTTGCGTACTTTTGCACAAGAAAAACAAATTTAAGCGACACAAACTTGCTCTAATATTGTGTTTTGTGGCGTTGTTTTTTTACATGTTTTGATTATCTGCGCCTGCCACATTGTTGATATTTCATCTACATATCCACACATTGGACTCGGGCTGGTGTTTTCCTTTCTCTTCTCGGTTTATTTAATAGACTGCGCGAATTTAATAAACAAATTAACGTGGCCTGTAAAACCTATCAAATTTTAATGGACGCGGGTCACGAGATAGATTTATTTCCATTCCCCATCGAATATGCATATGCAGGGCATAAATTAACTCCGGTTCGGAATAAAAATTGCGAAAATTCCGTTCGGTTTTAATTAAATTTCGCGAATCACGTCCGTGCAATTCAAAAATAACATTAAATTAGCTCGCGTTGTATACGCAATTTACGATTGAAATCGGTGATTTACGTTCAAATTTTAAGCAGGAAAAATGATTTTTTTTTAAATAATCAACACTCTGACAATGCAGTGTTCCCTTAATTTCCAAATTCGTAACTCTAATGGACGTTTAGAGTGAAAAAAAAACCCGTACATCCATAAAGATGTCGCCGCAGCGACGGGGTAAATTAAAATTAAAACCGTCGAAGATCGACTGCGGCGATAACGGCCGACATGTTTGTTTTTTATTGTCATTTTATGGCTTTTTATGACGATCAACCGGCGAAATCGAGCCGCGCCGGAGCGTCAGCGCTAAATGTTATCTTCGCCTCGCAGTCGAACGGCGAAAGATTAAAATTATTCGCGTTTTTGAGCCGACGAAACGTTATGGAAAATCAATCGGTGGCTTTTCCGAGCCGATAGTTAATAAACGTAAATGTAAATAGGCGCCGTTTCCATGATGCAAATATATATCAATATCGTTATAATGTTGGTAGAGGCAGCCGTAAAAAGCTTTTAAAATTTTGGCGGAAGCGCTAGCATCGGTGTAAAGATGCAGCTTTTAAAAATTTGGTGGAGGCACCAGTATAGTATAGATAGCATTTCAAATTCTTTATTTAATACCGTTAAATTTTGGAATATCTTACTGACTCTGTCGATTCAGGTGGCTTTACTAATTTCAACGATTCTACAATTCAAAAATTATACCTTGGAAAAACTTCAAAAAAGAAGGTTTTAAATATTCCTGCAAATGTTCTAAACAATTACACCTCTAGAGTGTATCCTCGGCCATTTTCAAATAGTTCTGAACATGTTCTAATCAGTTCTAAAATCGTCATGAACTATTTTAAATGGTCCCAGTCGGTTCTAAAATGATTCTAAACGATTCTAGAAAGTTTCACATGGTTCCCAACAATTCTATATGGTTCCGGACTCGTTTAGTTAATCCTAGTCAGTTCTAAAATAGTTCAATTTTAGTAGTCTTTTCGATAAATAAATCATTTTTTTAGCCCCCAACAAAACTCACCATCTATCACTTTCTTCTGCCAGAAATACCTCTCATATTTCCTGTTAATAAAAAGCCGTGGAAATTTTTTGCAGTCATTCCGCACCTGCAACAGATCGAAATAAATTAGCGCTTTTCTTCCGATCGAATCGATATAGATATAGCACGACAATCGGCTCCATTAATGGAATTAACAGGGTCTCGCATAATTAAGTTGATACTCGGTCCTTTTTACGCCAACCGAGCTCATAATAGAGACTGACATCAGACGTAGTTAGGGCTCGACTGTATTCCAGAAATAAACGAGGCACAATAGCCGCGAATATGAATGAAGTAGAAACGTATCAAGTTTGAGCTACGTTTTGTTGTAAGTGAATCGCGCGGCTTTGATACCTCTTATTTTGTTTTCTTTATTTGGATACATGACGGAAAAGTCCTGTTTTTATTATAATAAGTCTACTATCTGCTCGTTTAAGGTACTTTTTTGCTTGCTACAGCTATGGGGGTGTATTATAATTCGGTCTTAAAAGGGAGATATTGCAAGGGTTTACTTACACTAACCCACATAAAGATGTTAAGAGAGATTATTCTTGTTAATAATAATAGAAAGGAATTGTCATGAACAGTAATTTTAAAAAGTTTTATAAAATTAGACATTTAAGAATAATTAATTTTATTATATAGGGTGTTAATTAATTGAATGCCGATATTTCAGGATGTGAATATTTGGACGATTTTAAAAAGAAAAGTTTATATCAATGTATGTCCTAAAGCTCTTAGTTTTCGGGTTACAGGATGTTAAAATTTTAGAAAAAAAAAACTTTTCTATCATAATTTTCTTATTACTCCAGATATTTTTATGAAATTTTGGACGTGGACGTCACTGGTAATAGTAGAAAATTATTTTTTATTAAAAAAAAAGTGTTTCCATGTTCCAAATTTCAACAAAATATCAAAAGCAGTCTAAAATGAACTTGGGAAAAAATTGTTTTGGTTTTTATTTTTTTACGCGAAAATGGTGCGTCTTACGAAAGTAAGTATTCTGACTGAATTTGCTACAAATAAATGAGGATTTTAAAAATAATTTTGGTTTTTAGAAAAAGCAGTGGCGTACCATTTTTTCTTCAAACATATTCAGTTCAAACCCCGTACGGACGTCACTGGTGAAAATTAAAAAAAAAATCTTATGCATCAAAAAATGCTCCTTAATAATGAAAAAGTGTATACAAAATTTTATAAAAATATCTAAAGTAATAAGAAAATTATGATAGAAAAGTTTTTTTTTCCAAAATTTTAACATCATGTGGCTCGAAAACTAAGAGGTTTAGGACATACATTAATATAAACTTTTCTTCTTAAAATCATCCAAATATTCCCATCCTGAAGTATCGGCATTCAATTAATCAACACCCTGTATAAGACATTTGCAAGTAAATTATACTTGCTAAAAATAAAAAAGCGGGTTATTCTACAAAATTTCAACAATATTCGGAAAACTTTTTCCGCTTCCACGAAAATTTCACATAAATCCCCCAGTTTTAATAATAATTCTTCTCGTTTTGTTTTCAGGTAAGTCCATTTCTACCGACATTTAGACGGTGAGTTACAACACCGGTTCGCATTTCAAAGCGCGCAATCGATGAAATATTTATAGATTTCCATCGCAAAAACTCATCGAACTTCAAAGTTAGTTACAAATCGCGTTTTTTCCATGCGATATTCATACGAGCAAAACTCGTCTTCGGTTTTCAATTCCCCCATATATGCATACATACGAATATTGCCGGGATTACTTGTATATATGTATATGTAAAACACACTTATTTACATTCGGGATAAAAATGAGTTTCTTGCGTAGGGGTTGCTTTTTACAAATAAATCCCAATCCCGGTCGATACGAAACTCATTCTAAACTCAATTAAGCTCAATCTAAATATGATATAGCATTAATGAATAATAACTTAGACTAATACACTATCACATAACGTTCTAAAGTTGTTTATCTAATTAAGTTGTTGGATATTTAGTAACCCGACTCCCAAATACGCTCCATCGGTACACTGTTTGAACAATACCAATCGATTTATTTATACAGCATGTCCTCCAATACCTTCTCGAACTGTTTCTTATAATTTTTCATACAAAATTACATTCCACCCTGACATGGAAATCCTTACCGAACACCCCTGAGGCAAGTTTCCTTTAATGCCCACGGATTTGATTAAGCCCCCTTCACATTCGATTGAGAAACGCGCACCTGTATTGGCTTTGATCGAATCCCGAAGTTGTTATAACAACTGCAAACTTGTACTTCACCTTTACTAGAGAATCTCAGAATTATCATCTCCATTTAATGAACTCCAATCGGCATCTAGAAGTATATAGAAAGGGAATTGTTTCGGGCGAAAACGATGCAAAAGAAATTTCAATAAAGACGAAAAAAAGTATTGTAAAACGTTGTTTATAATAAATTTGGTGGAGGTATAAGTATTGTATAAATTGTATTTAAAATTTTGGTGGAGGATCAAGCGATTTATAAACTGTATTTAAAATGTTGGTGGAGGAGCAAGCAATTTATAAGTAGCATTTAAAATATTGCCGGAGGAGCCGTGTAAATATGGGTAAAACTTTTACATCGAATTTAATTGCATATTCTCCGCTTAATAAACTCTAATCAGTAGCCCAATGTAATTCCGGGCGCGCACAAACGAAATAAACCTTTTCGCGAGAGACGCGTTTTCGCGGAGGTTTGTTTCATTTAGAGATTGTCTATTTTTTTATTTACTGCAAGGAGCCCCGTACAAAGGGCGTTTAGTCGAGCGAGGAGCATTTGGAATTCTCAAAAAGATCGCGCCGGCTAGATGAAAAGCGTGCAAAATGCATTAGGCGAAGAGACAGTTGAGATGATTAAATTCTACGTTGAATTATTCACGGCGCAAACTCGAGTGAACGATGAGTTTTTAAACCTGAAAAACTTGTCTACT